TGAATGCATCCTTGCTGAATAATACAATTAATACAATACAGTTTTTTAAAGATTTTTTGATCTTGATTGCACTGAAACAGAAAAAATGAATTTCAGATAATATGCATAATAACAGGGATTCACGAAGTTGACAATTATTGTCTTATTTTCCTGTAAAAATACTAAAAATATGTGTAATTATATTGAGCATTGAGCACTTTATTTCACTCAGCACGGTGTAAAATTATTATTATAATTTTTTCCTTGTGTAATATGGTATTTATTTAATTATTCCTTATTAATTGTTTAAATAATCTTTAGCTGGATATGTTGGCAAATCTATAATTTCGTTGGATGCAAGTACAATGACAATAAATAATAATCTGAATCTGAAATCTAAAAATACCTGAAAAAACATACGTTCTTGAAAAGTAACACTGCATAATATATTAAGACTTGTTTTCAGAAAATATCTTCAATATGAGGGCATTTTGTCTTACTGCACACAATTGTTGGCATATTTTTAAGTATAAACAAGCTAAAAACAGCTGTTGCGTATCAATCTTGTAAGGATTTAAATTTGAAAAGTAAATTAGAAACTCAAAATGCATCCATATAACATTGAAATGTCAAACAAGTCATACTTGTCTGCCAGGTATCCAATTGCAATGCTGCCGACTAAGAAACCAACACTGAGCGCGGCCTGGAACATATCAACATACCAGGCGTCTGCGCACACTAGATCAAACTGCAACACACAGGTCTCACGTCAGACATCTCATTGCACTTCACACAATTATTACCAAAAGAAAGAGCTTGTTTTGTGGTCCCACCACTCACCTCAGTGACGAACGACTGTCTTCCTTCATAGTCGTACTCCCAGCTGTCTGTACAGCCCGTCATCGGTAGAGTAGAAAGCTGGGCCTGGGTGAGCTCACTTTCTGGATTGTCACAGGTTAGACCGGTGGCATTCCAGTCCATGTCCAGCTTCTGACACTGACTGTACGTCACCCCTGTAGAGCTGTTCATCAAGGGTACAGTCGCCCTGCGTGCATCTTGAAGACTCCAGCCGCATCTTTCCCGGATCTCAATGACACCCGGGTCACGGCACCAATGTTCAGGGGTGAAGCCCTGGAATACAATCCCCACATATACAAAAGAAAACGGTATAGAGACCAAGCAGAATATGGAAACAATTCGCATCTGGCACCGACCGAACTTGCCGGCCTCCTCTAAGATGTCTTCAAAAGTAGTCATGGTCACTGTACGGCTAACAGTGTAGGACTTGAAGGCATCCGCAGCTGTGAAAAGAGGTCTGTTAAGTTGAGGCACAGTATTTACCCACAGCTGGCTGAGCAAAAGTCCAGAGGAGGTTGAAATTTGATATATTCGTGCTGCGATTGACCAATTACATGCTGGGATGGGACACGAGGGACAACAAGTTACATTTTAACCCCAGTGACATCTGAAGCCTGTTACGTAATTTGTCACTGTATAATTTTTGTTCATCAAGTGTTGTATGAAAACGGTTCAGTAAGTGGTTTAGTAGGTAGACTACAGACTAAACCATGACTTACTTAACTAAACCCCGAAACTCTGGGTAGACTTGTTCTGTTTAGACTTTAATGATGAAAGCAGATAATAAACGTTAAAAAAAATTAAAGTGAAAACCGAAAATAAAAATAATTGAAATAAAGCTGAAATAAAATATGATTAAAAAAAAACTTGTGAACATTAAAAATGTTTCCTTGACAACTGAAATAATTTGAAGCACTAAAATTACTAATTCGAAAAACAAAAATTACGGCAAAAACATACACAATTACTAAATATTAAACAAATTGTTAAAGAAAATATAAAAAAAATAATTTAAATAAAGCTGAAATATAACTATTCAACTAATATTAATACAATACTAAATTGAAGCACTAAATAACTAACTTGAAATAAATGAAAATAAAATGAACTAGAACTAAGGCTGAAAGAAAAATAAAATAAAACCTACTAAACATGGCATAAACAAAATTACTAGAACTTAAATTAAAAATGACTGAAAACTGAAAATATAATAAAGTAAAACATAAATATTAGATGAAAAATAAACTAAAAAAACAAACATATTTCAGCTGCCAAGGATTCTAATATTTAATTTCTTAAAATTACTAACTCTATAGAAAAATCTACTATAAAAAATTAAAAGCTGAAATATAGATGAAAACAAATTTAGATTTCAAGGCAATATTTCTAATGTTCATTTAGTTTCTAACTGGAAACAAATTACAACTACAACTAAACTAAAGCTAAAACTTAAATAAAAATAAATTAAATGTAAATAGTAACTACTAAAAAAAAACTAATAAAAATACCAACCACATAGGAATTTCTTTTAAATCATAAAAATATTTACAAAAATATTAATAAAAACTAAAACACTGGTTTGATTCAATTGTTTGAGTGTGCCCTCAGTCTAGTTAAAGCAGCGAGATGAACCACAATAACTGGATGCATGCCGAGGAGCTGATAGTTTTATTGAAATAATGCCATAATATCGCAGCATAAACTATTTAAATCCCAAAACAAGATGCTGTAAAACATGACAAATACAGTCTGAAAAGAGCTAAAGCCTCTATCAGGAAAAAAATAAATACTATTTCAGGACCTTCTCTTGAAGTATTTCAGAGAATTGTACCGTACAATATCCCATATAGCAGACATTTTTTCAGTAAGGAGAGGGGAGCATGTGATGACCAACAGCTATCGAGTGCACCGTCCACCTTCTGCCCTAAAACACAGGAAAAAAAAAAACTGCCCCCCAAAGTGCAGAGTACTAAAAGAGACACCCAGGCATGCTTTAACGCATCTTGAAGTACCGTCTCAGTAGCAGTGAGTTATGACAGATATACAGAACTGGTGTGATTTTATTTGGCAACCATATATGTGAGGAATACACTGATGAATGGTAATACAAGCCTATGAGACAAACTATTAGAGCAAACAGCAGAGTCGGAGTGAAAAACACTATACACATGCTGCCAAACAGGACCAGTGTCCTGTTGTACCTTCACTGCCATGTGAGAAGAACGTTTTGGTAAATAATTTCTGGAGAGCTGAAAGCAAACTTGCAACACAACTTATGTAAATATATGCATCTTTCGTAAAGTCAGCAAAACCACGGGAGCTGAAACCGATTCAGCAAATAAAACGCATCATTTTTGCAGGTGTTCAGGCCGTTGTATTCAGTTAATGGGACTGGCAACAAAACTCATCGGGAAAACGGGAAAAGTGCTTTGTAAAAGGCTTTCTGTCAACTGCTGTACTTGTGGCTTCTTTCATAGGCACCAGTGTCTTCTTTGCAAAACATAAATTAAAATAAAGAAAAATGATTAAACAATAGGTAACACTTTACAGTAAAGTTCAATTTGTTAATGTTAATTAGTGCTTTAGATGTCACCAACTAACCATGAACAATACTTTTACAGAATTTATTAATCTAGGTTAATGTTATTTCCACATATTCTAATACATTTGCAACATTTCAAGATGTATAAATAAAAATTAATGTATTATGTATAAACATAATAGAATATTTATAAAATTAACAGATTAATAAATTCAGCAAAACCCCCCCCCCAAAAAACAAGTTTACTGTTATTTCATATATGGAGCCAAGGGGAAATGGTGATTGGAGGAAAAATTTCAGTGCTTTTGCATTCTCTCTCAACGCCTTTTGTTTCCCCCCAAAAAACTTTGTGCAAAATTATAATGTTCCCCTGAGAATCTTTGTGCTTGATCGCAAAAGAACTGAAATATAATTTTTCTCCCAACTCATTTTATTTCTATCACAAAAGTTTTGGGAGCGAATTGCAAAGTTTTTAACGCAGAAGTTTCACGAGCGAAGTTTCTCAGAAGAACACAAATGTTTTGTGTTATAGTTTTGCAAACAAACACAAAGTTGGGAAACAAAAACGTTTTGTGAGCGAACAAAGTTTCTCAGGAGAACAGAACATTTCTGATCAATCGCAACAGTTTCGTGAGCAAACATAAAGAGTTAAGTTTTACTTAAAACGCAAAAGTTTTATGAATGAACACAAAGTTTCTCAGAGAACTGTAAAAGTTTAACGATCAAACGCAATAGTTTAGCGAGCAAAGTTTCTCAGAGAACCGCAAAAGTTTTACGATTAAATGCAAAAATAACTGAAATACAATTTTTCCTCATTTTCTACCATCTCATTTTTTTACCATCATGTCCCATTAATGAATTGAATCTTATTGTAAAGTGTTACTAAACAATAATGCAAATAAACACCACAAAGATGCAATAATATTTCTTCTGATTGCGATGAGAAATTATGATTCTTAAGGAAGCCTGCAGCCTCCCTTCATGGCACTAAATCTCTGTATGCGCTCGGGTGTTCTATTAGGGCAATTAGAACATGCTTTTTATCAGAACAAGGGGAAAAAAAGCATTGCACAAAACACCCAACAGATGGATGCTATGGTTTAGATGAACACTGGTAAAGGTGAACGTCAATGCAGAACGCAAATGTGAAGCACGAGCATTCGAAGGGTTGTGATTTAAATATGAACTTGGCAAAGCGGATCAATCTCCTCTCGGTGCTACATGGCTCGAGATATGCGAAATACTGCTTCAGATTGTAGTTTAGAAAAGATCTTTGACTGTATCTGCCACAATCATCCATAATTATTTTACAGAACAGTCTATTTTTCCAGTGAGCTGGTAAATTAACAAAAAAACAGTACCCAAATATCTTTACATAACAATAAAAAAATTGATATAGTCCATTTCTGTAAGTTTGTGGGAGACTGAATTTACATATGATGCTGTACACAATTCATCTGAATCAATGGAAAACCGAACACACAACAAATAAACGATCAAATGACAAAAAAAGTATTTTGTCAGAAAGGCATTGAGTCTATTTAGTGGACGAATTGACCAACTTGCTCTTGAAAGCTGTCTCGTAAACAGCTCACAGAGAGATTTCCCTTTAGAAAACCCAAAATGGAGCAACTAAACAATTGGAGCGTGGTGGCAGAGACATTCAAAAGTTCAGTTTGGGCCGCCTGGCGCTCTCAGACTTTCAGTAAATCCTCGTCGCTGTCATCAGGGTCTGGCTGAGGTTTCCTATGGTTTCTGTCGCTGTATCGGGTCTTATTTCTGCTCTGTGTGTCCACCAGGAGTCCCACCAGATCCTCGTCGCTCTCTGCTTTCAGCCGCGAGGAAGTGGACGATGAAGGGGCAATTCGGACCCCTGGGACTGTGAGCACCTCGTCCTCGCTGTCCTGCTCGTCCAGGGAGAAGGAGCGCAGGGCGTCAGCGCTGACCGGCTTGGTGGTGATGTGACCGTTCCCTTGAGGCTCCCGCGTGGGCATCCCGGTCTCTTCCATTAACCATTCCACCTCATCTTCACATCCGTCCTCATCTGTGTTCACCTATCAAGAGAGACGAACAGAAAGACAAAAAAAAAAAAGAGTTATGTTCATAGTCATTCTGATGAATTTTTACTTATTGTAAAACTTGCAAAAAAGATCAAACGTTACCCTGGAGTATTTGTAGGATACTGGATTTCCTTTCCTGCAGTAGCTTGACACTTTCTGTATTACAAGTTGCCTAAAAATACGAAAGTGCATATTAAGCACACTGACTGAAAAACTGGTGTAGAAACAATTTTCACTCAGAAATTACTGGTAAATTTTTACAAATAATTAAAGAAATGAATTAACAATGAACTAAACCTTAAATTTTAAAGTGATAGTATTACAGTTTAGATTTTTTTTTACAGTGCAACTCAAAGCAACGAGTAGAATTCCAATTTTTATATATATATATATAATAAATTGGTTTTAGTTTATAACAAATATATTTAAACTACCATTCAAAAGTTTTGGGGTCTGTAAGATTTTTAAAATATTTGTATATTTAAAATATTAAATACTTTTATTTATATTTCTTATGTTCACCAATGCTGAATTTATTTGATCAAAAACACAGTAAAAATAATATTGCTAAATATTATTACAATTTAAAACAACTGTTTTTTATTTTAATTTAAAATGTAATTTATTCCTGTGATGCATAACTACATTTTCAGCATCAGTGTCACAAGATACTTCAGAAATCATTCTAACATGCTGATTTGGTGATCAAGAATTATTATTATTATTATTATTATTATTATTATCAATATTGAATATAGTTATCATGCTTAATTATTATTTCTTTTTAAACCATAATACATTTTTTTTTGGGATTCTTTCAAAAGAACAGCATTTATTTGAAAAATAATATTGTAATACTTTCTAATATTGTAAATGTCTTTACTGTCACCTTTGAACAACTGAATGCATCTAAAGTATTAATTTCATAAAAAAAAAGTACTGGCCACAAACATTTGTATTAGTTTAAAAATAAAATGATCACACAAATGTAATTTGCATTTTACCTCCTGTCTCGTTTGTGCAGCAGAAGAACAAGCAAACAGATTGTGAGCACAACCAACAGCATGCTAAGCACCGCCCCTAAGGCCTGACTCCGCCCAGATAATCCGGCATGCTCCTCCCCTCCATCAGTGCTGTGCGGGTCCATGGAGGTGGATGAACTATGAGAAAACCTATGTATTATACTCAGACTTACTCGGCTAACAAATCTATGTTGTAGAATTATCGAATTAAAGCTTAAAAGTATGATTAGGCTTTAGTAATACTCACAAAAATTCACAAACGGTGGCAGTGTGCCAAACAAACAGATACTGGCAGCCATCTGTCTCCAGCATGAACTCTGGGATACCCTCTCCTGCCGTAGGGCTGCAGTGGAACAGGATGGTCGAGGACACAGTTTTGGTTTTGTCTCGTCCACATACAGATTCAGATGGTACCAAGACGTCAAGATTTCCACCTGACAAAATACAACACCAGGTCATTTCATAAAATGGTTACATCACAGAAATACAAAATAAATTGTGTTCATAGAAAAATTAACTAATAAACTAATAATATATTAGGAGTTCATAGAACAAAATAAATTGAATTCGAAATTTTTTAATTTTGAATAAAAAGTAATGAAATTGGACAACACAGCAGCCCAATTCTAAAAAAATAAAAACCTAAATGTTTTGGCAAATATTGAGTAAGTATACAGAAACTAAGTAATAATACAAAATATATTTTAAACAAAATATTTTTGGCATTTTTGTGTTGTTACAAATAGAATGTGTAAATTAAATAATGAACAAACAAAAAAATCCTCTTTTCAAACAACAAAAAATTTAAACAGAACATTTAAAAACATTTTTGGAATTTTTATGTTGTTACAAAAAGAATTTATAAATGATTTAATAAAAAAAGTGTGTGTTGTTATAAATATATTTAAAAAATAAAAATAAATAAATTATAAATAAATAAATTAATTAATTTAATGTAAATAAGTACACAAATAAACTAAGGAAATCTTTGTAAAAAACAAACAAGCAAAATATTTTAAACTTTTAAATAAAAATATTTTCAAATATCTTTGACATTTGCGTGCTGTTATAAACAGAATTTCTAAATAAATAAATAATAAAGGGGAAAATAAACCCTGAAACCCAAATAAACTTTGCCTTTCATCTGTCCCAATATGCATACTGAAATATTTGAGCCCACTGCACTCGCACATCACACACCGTAACTCCTAATATGGTCACTTACTGATTATATCTCACCTTTGATATAATACTTGGCTTTGCTGGAGGAGCCAATTTTTCTGCGGTAACTGTCATTCATCTTGACCTGACAGATATTGGCACCCAGGCAATTGGAAATGGAGCCGTCGGTGATGCCTGACAGCTGGATGTGGTAGATATAGCGATCTCCATTGGGACGGATGTCTCCTGTGGCGTTGTGGAAACTAAGGACAGATAAAACACTGTGTATCTCATGCAAATTACTACATGTGGTGTGGTGTAGTTGTAGGCTCTGTTTTAATGAATGAGAGGGTGAGATGCCCACCGGTAATAAAGTGCTCCCAGGCTGAAAATGGCTCCTGTCTCGGGCACTTTGATGGTTCCATTGATCATCTCCACTTCCTCCTGCTTTACAGCACATGCAGATCGAGTCTCCCACTCCACCCAGTACTCACATGCAGTTTTATCCTCCCTAAAACACACAGACATAAATTTGAATCTTATAGATAACAGATGCTAAGCCAACACCACAAGTTGAGAATTTTCATGCCAAGTCAACTTACTTGAATAATTTCGGAAGGCCCACTGTGCTGCCACACTTCAGCTGCAAGATTGTTCTGGCTGGTTTATCGTTTCCACACACCTCGTCGCCCATGGAATAATTGACGAGGATCTTTCCATCTGGTGAGGACACATACTGATGAATAAAAACCAACAAAACTGTAATCACGTCAGAGAAGGTTTAAAAAGACTTACCGATGAACTCCATGGCCTGCGTGTGAACACGGCCCAGAGTCTCAGTCTTCCCACCAGCACGTCTGCGACACACGGCAGCTTCTGCTGCACAGCCTGGCTGGCCTCCATGAATGGCCTGACAGAGATTGAAGTAGTACCTGTGAGAACAAATAATACAATTGTGAATTTAATTAACACTGAACAGACGCAGGTGCAATATTACACCAGTTTCATTACTGATTAAATGCAATGTGTCCATATTCCACTGACTTGAGTACAAATAGTAGTTTTTGAACAAAAACTAAAATATAGATATAGAAATTATGTCTGGTACAAATAGCAGGGATTAAAGTTCCGTCGCTACGACGGATTTCCGTCAGTTCATAAAGTCCACGTGAATTTATGAATTTAATTGGACTCAAGCCACCTCTGAGCCTCATTAAACGTCTGAAAATGTACCTACAAGCCACTTTTGTGTTCTTCTGTGCCACCTCTGTAGTTCAAATTAATTTATTAATACTAATTTCATATGATTGGTAACTTATTTGTATTATTCTACATATTGTTTTAAATAGAAATTTAAAAAAGATTATAAACATAAAATTTTGAATTTGACAGATGAAAATGATGCCATTACAAAGGTAAAAAGAAAATACTCCTGTAAGTCACTTTAAGGAGTCAAATGTCACCTCGTATTAGGAAGGCTAATTTTTAATCAGAATTTTTGATTATTGATCACAAGGTGCTCCTAAATTTTTTAATTAGGAGGACAAGCGCTCCTAATTACAAGAAGAAAAAAACTGCTCTTAAACTGGGTGTGGTCGGAAAAAATTTTTCAGTAAAAAGATTTTTTGTTTTTGCTTTAACCCCTGCAATATAATAAGTAGAAAAATAGAAAAGAGGAAAGTAAAAAAGAAAAAAAAGAAAAGTAGACAAATAAATTACCAATCATATGAAATTAGTATTAATAAATTAATTTGTACTACAGAGGTGGAACACAAAAGTGGCTTGTAGGTACATTTTCAGA